TGATGGGCACAGGCATCTCCGCGTTTCTGAGAGGTTCTTAGGGCAAGAAAGTATCCGCTGTGCTGCCCCAATGCGAATTAGCAAACTTCACATATCTTAGAATTTTTTTCTTATTTCTCAGATATGCTGGTTACCTCGTTATGTTTTCCTTCACCAACGAGCAAGTGGTAAATCAGCACTTAAAATTGCAATTAACAATTTAATTTGTGTCACCGGGATTCGCACCCGTTTTGTTCGCGTACACACACGTGCATGCGTCACAGAATATCAGTGTAAAATAGCTCAATGCTGCTGTGTTTCGTATAGTGATGCGTTTTGATTTTAAACCAGGATAAATGTTGATGTTCATGATGATGAAACATTCACTACTATCATATGAATACTGTGTGCTCGTCACTCACCCTAATTCTATAAAAAAATCGCCGACAGTAGGGACTGTCAACTAGTCGACCATATATGCCATATCACTCGTACAAAATTATTTATTAATTACTATTATAGGTGATAAGTCTTCATTATTCGTAATTTTTAGCAAACATTGCCAGGTCATTATTTATACGAAGGATTTGGAATTATTTGCCAGAACTTCTTTCCGATCAAATACAAGGCAGGTATTTCCAGATGAAAAGTCGATAGGGTATTTAAATCGCGCAATTTATCACCCTGGACTGCGGTACTACTTACGATGGATGGCAATAGGATTATCATACGAGTACAATCCATCCATCCAGAACAGCCTATAGTTCACTGCTAAACACAAGCCTACAACAAACGGGCGATTTTGCCATAGTTGCCACGCTTGGCAAGTGGGTAGGCAACCGCAGTTTTGTTTATCAGGAAAATTCTGCTGACCATCTTCTATTCCAGTTTTCCTCTGTCTCCTCTTACGACACCCATGGGATGATATGGGGTAGTGGACATTCTTGCACCGCCGCTAAACGGTTGAGGGTTAGCAAATATATTTTAAAAATATAGTTTTTATTTCTACAAAACTTGTTTCGAATTTTGAATAGCAAAAAATAAATATGTCAACGCCAAAGCGTGAATAATATTTTCTTACACGTCATTTTCAGTGCTATGCTTGCTCTGTATCTGTACGTTATAAAAAGTTTCACCTGAATCAAACGTTATTAAAAGAGGCAACAGAATAAAGCTCAGAATAAATGCACGTAGCTCTCGTGTTTGCATATGGACGGCACCTTCCCGCTCATTAAAATACCTCACTATCTTTTGCTTTGAAAGGAATATGCAGTGCTCCATTGTGTACATTATTCAGAGAAATCTCAGCACATTAAAGAACTTTTTGACGCAATTTGTACAAAAATAATAGATCATACATACAAACATTTTTTTTTATTTTGTATTGCATATCGAACCTCTATTCATAGTATAACTAAAATACATAACAATAAGCAATATATTAATTAAGTCCGAGTGTAGGGGGTCGGAACACTGTAATACAGGGTACCCTAGTACGGGTACACTCTCTCACAATGGACAAATGTTGCAAAAATTGTATCATAGAAATAAGACAATAAGCTAAGCATGTTATTAATTTAATGTACGATTGTGATTGGAAATAAACTGTTTTTATTATAAGCAGTAAGCAGAATCCAAAGAGCAGAGAGCTACTCGGACCACGTTTAGCCAAAACATGGATTAGATAGGAAATTGTTAAAGAAGTGATTAGTAGCTAGAACATCATATCAAAATCAAAACCTAATATGCCATTAGTCACATTTTACATGCTAAGCAAGTGACACAGTTGTCATATTTCTTTTTGTTATAAGATCAGTATGTATGTAATTACTTGGACGTTGACAAGAAGCCACATAAACTTATTATCATGATCGCTGTGTTTCACGCAAGACCAACATCCGTTGGACGACTATTCACACTGATATTCTAATGCCACTCTACCAAGAGGTCTAGGACGAGCACAGTGCCCGACCGATTACAACACTATAAATGTATAGACGAAGATAGAGCACTATGTTATGTCTTCAATTCTCAAGAATCCCGCAAGATTATCGTCTCTAAGAATCAAAATGAAAATGCGTTGCCACACCCAAAGACTAAGATGGAATGCTTCGTTTTCAGTAAAAAGGGTCTCCAGTTCTCTACACTCACCATACGAAACACAGCATTGAGCTGCTAGTTAACGCTGGTATTCTGTTAGAACGTGGTCTTTCCCCGGTCGAGCAGATCCATTCATGCTACAGCCATGATATAGCTGCAGCATGGCTCTATCACGTAAAATTGGCATCCAATCTTCTGATTCGTGTTTTAATAAATCCATACCACATGATCATACACAGCTGATCCTTGACGATTTGACGGCGGTGGCTTAGCAGTAATTTGCGGTGTTGAGGGCCGCGGGTTCGAATCCCGCACGGGACAAGTAGTATTTGTATGTCCTACAAAAATTGTTCTGAGTCTGGATGTTTGTCCTTGTGCAGTTTTTGTCCGCCGGCCGGAAAGCCCGGAGTTAGGAAGTTGGCGGATTTTCACTTCTGCGCCTCGGAAAGCAGGTAAAAGTGTTCTCATCGTTAACTACAAGCGTATGGCCTAGAGAATGGACTGAATTTGTTTTTGTGCCCTTTTGTGCCCTGTGCGACGTAATTCCTCAGTTTATCTCATAGCTTTGCATTCAAAATACATTGCAATGTTCGTAAGACAATATGTTGCATTTCTTCTGCATTTTCGCTTAACAGAGTATCTGATGGTGATAATTTAAAAAATAATAAGTTAAGATCCACGTATTGATTTTTTATTTATTTAAAACATTTATATACAATATGTAACGTAATTAACGCACACCCTCAGACACCCCAATTAGTATATTATGTTATAATCATAATACATACACTGAATTTTCAGTTAAACATTTTTATGCACTGATTATTTATCAAATTAGTTATACTAATTCCGGAAGAATGTTGTGGTCACAGTACAAATCCACGAACGCAAAGACTTTAACGTCCTTGAAATAAAGTTCATTTTTCTATATTTTTGTTGAATGACAGTATTAGTAATAATACAAATAAAACTACATTCTTAAAAGTCTTATTGTCCAAAGTTAAGGTCCATTTCATTTTGTTTTGACTGCACAGCTTTAGTGTGAATGTAATTTACGTACTTTTAATTATTTTTGGGATAAAAAATTACCTATATTAAAAATGATAGGAATCGATACAGTAAACGATTCTGAACAAACTATTTTCTCAAAGTGCGTTAATTATGTTACATGTTGTGTATATATATATATATATATATATATATATATATATATATATATATATATATATATATATATATATATATATATATATACATATCAAAATAAGGCTTATAAATTACACAAACAAATACATAATCGAAATAATCCATAGATACCATTTATCCTTAACATGTGTGTTAAATACATAAACATATTACTTACATAAATACCTTATGAGTTTTGATTTTGTAGTATGTATATAGTAGGATACCACTAATGTAAATTGGCAATATCTTCGTTAATTGTTTCTGGTGGAGATTTTCCATCGTCCACAGCTGGATATAGGCCTCCTTCACACTGCCACAATACACGATCCTGAGACATCAAGTTGTACGACTACTATAAACACTTGCTATCTTTAATTAAAAATTATAATGCAAATTTCTTCAAATTAAGGCTAGCGCCGTGATTGACCCGTCCCGTTGTTCATTCGTGCGCGGAAATCTGTGCTGGTCTTAATTATTAATCCTGATTTATGCAGTACCGTTTTCAGTTTAATGCACATATTCTATTGTAAACTTGATCAAATCGTAAGTGCGTATGAACTGCAATAAAATTTAATTGCAATTACACATTAAAAAATAAATAAATTGTTGTTCCTTCTGTACGAATAAAAAGTAAAGTAAATATTCAACAGAATATAATATATAAATATGATATTATATATTGTTATCGGTATTAAATGTCTTATTTATCACGATTGTAGCATGAATGGGTCGGATGGACGGGTGGAAGACCACGTGTTGCCACTCAGTTAACATTGACACATCTCTGCAACACTAAGTACGTGTTTATGGACCACAACATCCATTTAAAATCAGGTAAAAAATATGTGCTCATTTTACAACCTTGCTTCCAAAAAGGTTATTAAATGAGCATTTATCAGATGGTAGCCCACCTGGTTGGTTTCCATTCTTTTATCATACCTATTTCTGCGGCCAAGCAGCAATGCGTACCTTGCTGTATTCCTGTTTGAATGATAAACACAGTGAGTTAGAAAGGTTTACCGTGTATCCACTATCCTATATCATCTCGTAGCTGATAAGCCGTAACTAATAAGCGTCTTCCTACTAACGAATAAAAAAACTGTGCTTGCCCACCCACTTGCCAAGCGTGGCAACTATGGCAGATATCCCCCATATTATCGAGCCTTTACCACCGTTTTAGCGCAACCGACAAAAAACAAATTTTACAAGAGAAGGTTTTTTTAAATATGTTTTAATAGAAATGTGCTAGTAAATTGAAATTTTACATACATTATTTATTTTCAGACATTTACATATATAATGGAAAAAAATACAAAAATATTTAGTATTTAAGCTACTTATGTCGCTTAATTTATTTTTGCTGTCATAATCTAAGGTTGTTTTGGCATGTACGATAAAAATATCCATTAATATTACTAATACAATAAACTATATTTTGATAAATGAATTGATATTTTAAAAGACGTTTAAACGAAATAGTTATAAAATATTGAAAATGAAAATTTATTTCTATTTAACAATTAGAGTAACGAGATCAATTAGCATAATTATAAACTTAACTAGTTATTTAAAATGAAATAAAGTATTTCTTCTCGTATGAATGATCTTAGCGCGTTTTCACTGAACACCAGGGTTATCATGGTTTTTACACAAGACATTAATTCAATAATTAAATCAATCATTTTGATTAGTGAGATCAATATTGTATTAATATAAAATTAAATTAAATATTTTTAATTCTCCTCATCTTCATCTGTTTCAGCTAAAGCATCACGTACGTTTTCATCATGCTTCATACTTAAATATTCTTGATGGTATCTGTTTGGAATCACATTTTTGTTACACAGATCCTGTAAATCTTTGTATTTAGCTAATGAAAGTTTGAGCTCTTCGGCGTATAAAGGTGTAGGTCCCTTTTCCACAATAGCTTTGTTTGCTCTCGATCTGATGATGAAATCCATGTTTATTTCGTAATTGTCACTATCTTCGAAAAAACCGTATTGAAATGTAACAATAGGATTATTTTTATGAAATTGCACCACCCTTAATGAATTAAAATTTATCTTAAATTTTGCTGGTAATAAAGCTTGTGAAAAATTTGTTCTCAGGTGGTAAATTTTTGCACTTCTCACAAAAAGCACATTTATCTTTTTTAGGCAGATGGAATCCGATATTAAAATCCCTTTTGAAAATGTTACGAAATACTCTTTTTTGATAATACTGATAATTCTGGATTTTTTTTTTCACGTGATTAACATACTGTAAATACAAAAACGATATATTTTGAAATTCTTGAGGTAAATATACTTTAGTGCTTTTATTGCGACAATAATGGGATGGAACAGCGGGCAACATCTCAATAAATGATTTTAACTGAGCGACTTCTACCTCGTCAGATTTATTATGAGGACGACTAGTTCTTCTGCCATCTCGAGTGGTATTCAGAGCTTTATTAGCATTTTCGATGGTGTATCTCATTGACATTTGGGATATGTTTAGGGTCTTAAGCAAAAATTGTTGACATACTTTAATATTCTGTCCATTGTAGCTGATAAAATAATCGTATGATATTTTGCGAACATTACTACTGGATCTTTTTCTTCCAATCGGTTTTTCTTTAGCACAGGACAGCAGGAAATCTTTTTGTCTTTTATCACAACCTAATCCCCAATAGTTTTCAAAAATATTATTGCGATCATCTTCCGTAAATTTATTTGCACATGAGTTACCACATTTTTTATTCATACAAGGGTTTGGTTGTATAGATTTCCCTACAGCAGCCTTACGATTTTAATTTGCTAAAAGTCGTTTTGGTAAAGGTTTTATTTTCCTATATCCTCTTTTACTAGTCTGTTGTTAAGTCTTTTATGTTCTGGTTATCTAAATTCAAGTGTAAGTATTCTCAGTATCTGAATCACTGTAAACGACAAGTTTAGTTTGAGGTAATGGTGTTAATAATGCGTTAGTATTGAGCTCAGAATTTAAATCTGTATCACAAATATAATCGATCAACGAAGGTGATGTCGTATCAGTTAATATTGGGTCCATGTCAATATCGTTGTAGCTGTCTGTTAGTAAGAATTGATCTAGAGCTGGGGCCTTATCTTGCTGTATGTTCTCGGGAAAAGCAGTTCCAGGATTACTCTCTTCTGATATGGGAAGTGGTGATATTAACTGCATAATTTTCTTCATTCGTGACTATAAAAAACAAATAATAACTTAAAAAGAATCACATAATAATAAATAAAGCATTAATGGACAGACGTAGGCAGTGACCTACTACGACTGCTTATTTTATACCAGTGGTGCGCCCTCGCTTTGCTTTGGTTAATAAGATTTCCCATGGGAATTTCGGGACAAAAAGTATCCATATTATTCCTGATGAACCCAGGGATAATGTATTCTAATGGTTAACGTACGTACTGGTATTTAAGTTCTCCCCAATTCAATTAAAAAAATTAAAACACAAAGCATACCTTAGCTGCAGGAGTCGACATTGCTGTTTTATTTGATGTTTTGGAGTTAACTATGTGTACTTTATTTAAAACACAATAAGGAAACAATAATTAATACAATTAAAAATGTTATTATGGCTGAAACTGTTTTTTTTTTTGCTACAATTCAACGAGAACAATGTTTTTGTCGCATTACTTTCACGGAAATAAACAGGTCACGACAGGTTTGTTTATAGTAAACGCCTCATAGTCTATCACCTATGTCGGTTGCGATAACAAGTAGTGTCACTTGCGCTACAAAAAATTTATCGCAAGGCGCTTACGATAAAAATGCTTGTTGTCGCTTACGTTATGGCTTTAAAAATATATGTATTTACGATAATTTTAGTACTTGCTACAACTTTATAACGGTTAAATTTTGGCGGGAAATGTCAACAGGGATGGATCCGTTATGGTTTAAAATACTACTTACGATAAAAAAAGCATTTTCGACAAAAGTGTCGCTTACGATAATTTGGCGGTAACGGCTCGTTATATTTAGTAACTATGGAGGAGGCCTATGTTCAGCACTGGACTGTAATAGGCTGTAGCGGTTACGGTAAGATAAGTAAAGCCGTGAGTTAATATGGAAAGTAAGCTCGTCTGACACTTCCACTTCAGAAGTTGTTAATTATTTTAATTAGCATATGAACCCTTTCAAAAATATTTATAATATTATACTAGACTCTCGTAATCCATATTACCACAACCAAAATCCTGAATATCGCCAACGAGTGTTAGTTCATGCATTTTAATGAGTTCGGAAACATCGTCCGTAATTAAACATGAGGGCTTAATATATTCTACCGACCTATTTTTAAGTCCAAAGAGAATATCATTATTTAAAATATCGTTTTACAGTATAGTGATTATCAAAAAACGTACGTAGGTGTGACGATAGTGTGCAAATGAGCCACGGATGAATCGACCTAGGCTCTCATTAAGCTAACATTGTATTCTTAGTAGCGAGATTTTGTGACGTAAATCACAATATTTAGAATTCTAAATTAAATGGTGATTATCCTTCTTTTTCTTCAGCACGTAAAACTCAACTGCTGCTGGAAACGGACCATCCTTGATGTAAGATTGATTTGAATGAATAATAATCTTTATCAGGCTTTACAGGTGAATTTATTACCACAATACCAAATATTTGACACTTTTGACGCTACACTTTTCGTACTATATTCGATAGCTATTTCTGTTTCTATGAAACATGGTGATTTAGCTAAATAAATAGTTCGTTGTTTTCCTTTTACGACTGATTGTCTAGTTCTTTAGATTACCACCCTCGTACCCGTGACGCAACAAATGGGACCAAAGAGCCATGGCACCAAAAGGCAGATTTTATGGAGTGGTATTTTGGGAAATAATCAGCTCTTGACTTAATATTAGGAGGATACTTGCAACGATTGCCACGCATGCCAGGTAGTAACCATAATTTTGTCATTGGTAAGGTGTTGCTACCAATCTCTTGTTTCTTTTCTTTTTGTCATCCCTCACGACACCCCCGGGTGACATGTGTTAGTATATGCCCTCAAGCAGCCACATGGTGAGAAAAAAACATTACGGGGATTTCGCAAACTATCGGTGTATTACGAAAGCTTCTTAGCATTTTTCTTTGTAGACTTCTTATAAATTAAGGAAGATAGTGTAATGAATCCCTTCACAGACAATACCCGGTGTTTTCTTTTACTTTATAAAAATCCACTATACAGACATTTCCAACTTTAGACCAAATAGTCTATTTTTATTTATTTATTAACGTTATCATATACCTACATTTTGATTTTTAATCGAGCATGTATGGTATGTATTTAATATTAAATTTTTACATCCTGGGCGTATTTGATCCAATATTATATAATAATTTTTTGACAAAAGCACACAAGTAACCCAAAAATTTGCAAATCCTAATTTGCCACGTATTTGACGGTGAAAGAAAACATCATGAGGAATTCTGCATGTTTAAGAAATATAAATATTTTGAAAAGATATGAAGTCCGGCAATACGCACTGCACCAGAGTTGTGGTGAAATTCTGCTTTTAGAAATGTGAGAGAAGGCTAATTCCCAACAATATGTTATATACAGGGTTATTTTGCAATAACGGCAAATGATCAAGAAAAATTAATTTAAAAAATCTTAAACATTCTGTCTCAAAATGCGTGGTGATGCATTATTTTAACTGATTTTAACTGCACTAATTTTACTGTTTGATCCGTAGGCGAAAACAATGTTGTCCATAAATCACATTCAACTTGGGATAATTTCAAATAAAAGTAGACGCCTTATTTATTCATATTTTTTATAGGATAGGGTGATAAAGACCTTAAGTTCAAAATTTGGTTACTCTTTGAAAAATACCCTTGTATAGTCTATAACTTTTACTCAAATTTACAAATATAAATATAATATTAAAATAGCAAAGACAAAACCAAATATTTCGAATTTACGCAGAAATTGAGTTAAAAGCACCTAAAAACGCAGAGAATCACTATGACGTGACACTTTGACGTGTACGCAAAAACAAGTTTTCCAGGAACAAACTACATTCTAAATAAAAACAGCCACATGCATCGCATGCTTGTTGCTCTCATATTTGCATACAAATACGTTCTCAAGCTCATCAAAATGTATGAATCCGGTGTATCTCGTCCCTACATGCACGCCTGTATGATAAAACTTGTACTATGTCTATGACAGTCATATTACCAAAAGCAGTAACTTCTGTATGCAGTTATTGCGTATCTAAACGTTACTATGAATACTGCAAAATACATTTAATTAACTGTATATTCCATACAGGCCACTAAAAGTTAACTGCTGGAGATTGGCCTGGCCTGGCGGGCGGGTTGGCAACTGCTGTTTTTGATTCAATTTTGAGTTATTATCAGGAAGATTTATTTATAGGATAAAGGTGACAAACTTGCACACTTTCCAGTAGCTGCTGTGGCCGATAGACATTTAAATCTATCCTTGACTACGAATCAAAATGCAGATGCGTGGTCACCCGTGAGGATTAAGATGGAATGCCTCGTTCCCAGCAAAAGGAATCTTTGGTTCTCTACAGACACCACACGAAACATAGCAGCACTAAGCTGTTATTTAACGCTGGTATTCTGTGCGAGCGGGGTCTTTTCCTGGTCGAGCCGACCCATTCGTGCTACAACTATACCACTAATATAGCTGCAGCATGGCTCTACCACGTATAAAGCTCATCTAATTCTGCTGTCCATCTCTTCTTTCTGCTTTATTCAGTCACCTCTAAAAGCACATATACCCTGTGTGTATATGTGCTGACACTACTGACTGTAGTGACAGTGTAAGAATTTCTACTACGCCATAACTGTATATTGTCATCCATCCGTTCCATATATAAGGCAGCTGGTGAACAAAGGACAATTTTTAGTTGCCACGCTTGACGAGTGTGTGGATAACCGCAAGTTGTTTATAACTTTTACTTGTTATCAGGAAGATTCTATTGACCATCTCATGTTTTATGTTTGTATATAATCGAAAGTAATTAAATAATTTATTCTCGTTTCATTCGAAAAAAAAATCTATTAATTAACGATTGAAATTTCAAAAGTAGACATATTTATTTGCAAATGTGAATAAAATTATAAGGACGACTCACTGGCCCATACCGCAAAGGAGAAAGCCGAACTTCTAGGCTCTTTCTTTGCGTCTAACTTGACTCTCGATGACGGGGGGAGTACGCCGCCGACCATCCCGTGGTGTGAGTGCTCCATGCCGGAAGTGCAGTTCACACAGCGCTCGGTTCGCAAAGCACTCCTCTCCCTGGACATCCACAAGTCGAGTGGGCCTGACGGAATCCCCCCAATTGTACTAAGGACGTGTGCTCCAGAGTTGGCACCGGTTTTAACGCGTCTTTTCCGGTACTCCTACTCCCTAGGCGTAGTCCCAAAATCATGGAAGACGGCTTTCGTCCACCCGATCCCTAAAAAAAGGCGACCGCTCAGACCCGTCCAACTACCGGCCTATCGTCATCACCTCCTTGTTCTCTAAAACAATGGAGTCCATTGTAAACTGCCAGCTCATGAGGTACTTTGAGGATCACCAGCTGATTAGTGACCGCCAATACGGTTTTCGCCGTGGTCGGTCAGCTGGTGATCTTCTGGTCTACCTAACTCACAGATGGGCGGAGGCAGTAGAGTCCAAGGGCTCCCCTTTGGCCGTTAGTTTGGACATTGCGAAGGCCTTCGATCGGGTTTGGCACAAAGCGCTTCTTTCGAAGCTCCCTTTCTATGGGCTTCCCGAGAAATTGTGCGATTGGATCACCAGCTTTCTTGCAGATCGGAGCATCAAGGTCGTTGTAGACGGTGCAAGCTCCGATTACAAGCCTATTTTAATGCTGGTGTTCTACAAAGCTGCGTGCTATTGCCAACACTGTTTCTTCTGCATATCAATGATATGTTGCAAACCCGTAACATTCATTGCTATGCAGATGACAGCACTGGTGATGCTCTTTACACCGGTCGAGCCAATATTTCTCGGGAAAACGTCTCCGAGTGCCGGAATAAACTTGTGCCTGAAGTCGAGTCTTTGCTGAACAGAGTCTCGGATTGGGGGCGACTAAATCTAGTCGTTTAACCCCCAGAAGACACAAGTTTGCGCGTTAACGGCTAAAAAGAACCCCTTTGCCGTATTCCCTCAGTTTCAA